AAAAACATTTAGGTGCAGGGATGTTTAGTTGAAATAAATGCTCCATACTTACTGACTCAATTTTGCTGTGACATAAACAAAATGCTGACTTTCCTTGACTGGCAAAACGATAATGTATGAGGAACTAGGATGAGTGAAATCATCCTAACCATCAACAAAGAACTCACCGTTCCTTTTCATCACAATTACAAGCATATGATATTTCCCTACTTACTATAAGTCCAGGCCTGTCCTTGAGGAATTTAGAGCAAGGTAGATACAACATGCCTACGACATTTACCTTCCATAAAGTAGGAACAATTCAGGTAGTGACATTTCAGGGAGAAGGGCTCAGAGAGGAGGCTGGGAAATGAGGGGACCAAGCAGGCACCCGTCACTGGCTCATCCAGTGTATATTCAGTTGTTCGTAAAGTGCTAAGACTTTCTCCTTAGGCACGGTTTGGGGTGGTAATATTTAGTTAGGATGTTAAATTATTTACTGAAAAATCATCAGAAAAACATAAATCAAATGCAACCTATTAAAAATGTTGACCTTAAAAATGATTTCACTTTTGAAATTAATACAATTTAATTATAGGATATGTAACTAAGATCTTATTCATGAAGCTTACACCCGACGGTCACCTCCTCATGAGCCCATGTCTCTCTCTCCTCTCTAATGTCCTTGGCACTGGTTTGTCTTAGTCTCAATGTTGAATTTCTCTTTTACATTTGAAGAAAATTTTAAAACGACGATTTCCATCATACAGGTAATTGATGTTTGCCTTTGTGGGCTACAGTGTTTTTTGTTTGTTTTTGTTTTTTTCCTGTAGGGAGATTTTTTGCTATAGGGTGCATGTGCTTGTCAGAGACACAGAGTGAGAAATCACACACATTCCCCCATCCCCGGGAATGGCCCCACTGCAATCCCTTCTCCTACACTCTCCTCTTGGGATATTGGGCACAACGTGCCCTGTGTGCGTTTTAATTTGCCAGGTCTAGGCCTTGAACCACAGTCAACTACGTAGGAATCCAGCAATGTAACAGCTACGCCAAGTGCTGGCGCCCCCCTGTAGTATGGTTTTTTCTAAGGCAATGCATCCAGTGTACAATAATCAAATCAAGATGTGCACATGTTCTTCAACATGGAACAGCACGTTACGCTGTACACATCTGGTAGCAGTTTTAAGGTCTCTTTGGCTTCAGCTTCTTCCCGCTTTACTCAGTTCAGTGAAAGAACTTCCAAGGGTGTGGCTGACGTACACTCAAGGTAAACATCCCTGACAGTAGCTTTCTGCTCTAACCCTGTCTCCTATTACTCCCCAAGAAACCCTCTTCCCCAGCGGGGCTAGTCTCCCCAGGGACACCTAGTTATACTCCTTAGGAGGCAGTGTCCACAAAATCTCGAGTCACCTGACTAGTGTTCAATTTGTAGAATTCTTTGGCATCTGTGATGAGTACCAACGGTCTAAAAATTCCTGAACCAGACAGGTGCTCCCATACAGTAATTCCCGTGGGCAGTGCCACTGCCGCAGGTACAGGTTCTTTGAAACATGAAGCCAGCTCAATTAGCACGCGAGGTTGCAAGCACAGCAGGCATGTAAATAATGAATGAAACAACAAAACTGAATCACATAAAAATAATCACATTAAAATGTAAAAAACATTTTTCAAAAATAGGATTTCTACCACAAAACTCTAATCTTGTGAATAGTTCCCAATGAAATAAACGCGATTCTTGCATTTCCTGAGGGGAGTGAATTACGACTGAACAGAGATACACAGGAACAGGACTGGGACGACAGTACCTTCAGGAGTTCTAGCCCTGAACGAATAGCGGTATCCGGACTGACACCCTCCTCTTCATCGTCCGCTGTCCCTTCTATTGATTTGTTCATTAATTTCACTAGTGCACTGTAGGAGAAAGCGTGGATTAGCAAGGCTACTAGATTAATCATTGTACCCTAACTGCACTGTGACGGGGTATAAAGAGAATGTACTTTTTGAGGTCCCCTTGCATCATACGAATGTTGAAGTATTTAAGAAAACTTGGGTTGGTTGACAGCTACGTAAATTTAAAATTGTCTTTCTTTTACCTTTCTTTATAATCCAAGATTTCCAAAACAAACACACATTGGCTAAAAATAAACACAAGGACACTTTAAATAACGAGCAGCCCTTCTTTCTACGTGAAGGATATATACTTCTGCCCTTAAACACATGTATCTGGTGAGCACTTTCAGGCCTTTGTGAGGGCCTCGTACTTAGATCCACTGCCCTGTCAGACAGTAATCTAGTTGCAAGCATCAGGTCCATGCACTCATCTGTACACAGACACATTCCCTGGCTTACCTTATGGCTTCAGAATCAATGTGAACAGGTGCAATTCTTTCCAGTAGGAATTTGACCATCTCTAGGAAAGGGTTCGTCGGCTGCTTAGGGTTTGCAAGTTTCCGAGCAATCTCTCTCTATGGAAAGGGAAGAAGTTCATCATAAGTATGATTCATTTTTATGTTTTTCAAAATAAAGATGATGACAGACATTAAAAAGCATGTAAAGGTTCAAAACCAGCAGAAGTGAGAAAAGAAAAAACTTGTTTGCTACAGACTCTGAGTAAAATTTATATACCGATTGAACAGTCACCACAAAATATGGACAATGAAGAAAGGGGATCACACGGGTTCAGGGTATGTTCTAATTCTGTGTCATGTTTCTCCCGTGAAGTAATAATAATAACATTAATATTATTATTTAGATTTTTGTTGCAGGATGCATGCGCTCTCCAGACAGACAGAAAGAAATCGCTCCATGAGGGGATGGCCATGCTCTCCTCTCAGGATTTTGGGCACACACACACACACACACACACCCGGGGGTGATTTCTCGCTTTCTGTCTCTCTGTCTTTCTGGGAAGTGCACACGCCCTATAGCAAACCCCCCCCCAAAAAAAAAGAGTATAAAATAATTTATTAAATATCACATTGATAGTAAATAGTAATGCTGAAATTCAAACCTAGGACCCTGTATCATAAAATGCTAAATAAATGGATAAAGGTTTCCTTCTTGATATTTTAATGACAGTGGCTCTCCTTGGAATTAGAAGTCAATGAATACAATGAGGACAAACACCTAAACAGAAGTTCATCTCATCTGAAAATGAAGCCACGTAGTCGGCAACGTTACCGCTGATTTACTGAGAAGGGTTATTTCCAAGCGAACGCACAGTTCTTCCGTGACCATCGACTAAGGACCCCGTACTTTGTCCTGTCCAAGCTCCAGGACTGATCCCTCGACCTCAGCCTCCTAGTATTCCCTCGGACTGCGCCTGGAGTTGAGCGCCAGGCCGACAGCTGGGCTGCCCACGCACACCCCTGTTGGTCAGTGCTCACGACACGGCTAGGACCCAGAACCCTGTATGTAAACTAGGCTTCAATGACACAGAGATGTCAGCAAATGCACCGAAGAAAACAAACGGAAAAGATAAGGTACTCACCACACAAATGTCTGCCTGTTTGCACGAACACGTCGGGCTGATTAATAACTCTAGCTGAGACCGCAGCTTCTCATCATCACCAAGAACTTGGTTAAACTTCTTCACAAAATCCTGGGCTTTCCCTGGGTCGGGTAAATTCTCTACAGAATTGAGAGACAATCTGTAGTAAGAAATAAAAACTACTCAACTAAACTAAAAGCTAGTGACTTAAAAATATTGCTGAGCCTTGGGAACCAGCAGTTAGCGTAATGGCTATGTCGCTGGACTCCCACGTAGTCGACCGCGGTTTGTGTCCCGGACCCAGTGGCTTAAAACTCATGCCAGGCGCGTGTGCGTGCGTGCCCAAGATCCCGAGAGGAGAATGGAGGAGAAGGGATTACAGTGTGACCATCCCCCCTGGGGGGTGATTTCTCGCTTTCTGTCTCTCTGTCTCTCTCTGTCTGTCTGGCGAGCGCATGCGCCCTATAGCAAAAAACCTCTCCAAAATAAAAATAAAAAAAAAATATTGCTGAGCCTTAATAGAGAACCAATTTAAGATTACTTGCTCTTAATTATCATGGACTTGATAGTCCCGTGTGGTAAGCGGTCTAGTTATGCAGAAAATGAACAGAACTGCTGAGACATACTTACTTGCTATGGTCATCAGTTTTCCAAACATGGCAGAACAGTTAGCCTCTGACTAAAATTTAAAACAAAAACAAAAAGCTGGTCACGTGCTAACCAATTTCTTTAAGAAAAATCCAGATTCATCATTGTGCATTTTTCATGAAGTTACCAAACAAGCTACACCATAGCCACCTGAGAATGGATTCTCACATCTACACACTGAATTGAGGGTAGAGAATTGTGGAATAGCGACAACTATTAAGTTAAAACAAACAGGAAGAGGTGTTAGCGAGGGGCATTAAAGATTAAGAGTGCGTACTTTCATAAGAAAGTCATTTTGCCAGAACACTGAACAAAAAGGTAAGGGAAATGATCATATAAAAAATATTTTGAAATCACATGCCAAGAGAGACAATGTATGTCGCCACTTAATATATACCGAGTGTCCGCACTCTGACTGAAACTGATCGACTGAAGGATACACACACAGTAAATGGGTGTAAATACCAGATATAGTGTGTGTGGAAGAGCAGACCTGAGGAAGGACATTTAGAAGAAAAATACGAAGGTGAAGCATTAATGGGACAAAAAAATTGGTATTATCTGTTGAAGATATTTTATAAGTTTATCAACTGGACTAGGAAAAAATATGTTCACATACTGAAATATTCACCTTGTAAGCTAAACAGTGTATAACAGTGTATAACAGAAAATGAAATCACATGCCATAGATAATTGACGAAACATATGAAGCGTAGCAAGTTTTTCTTGTGGAAGAGGGTTTAACCAGCTGCCTGTGACTCATTCCTTGTATCCCAGTAAAGAAGGCACCGTCACTAACCTAAAGCAGTCTGCGTGGAAACAGGGGGACGGCAGCTTCACCGGACACTACTGCAGCTGCTAAAGCTGTGAGAATAGTCACACCCAGCCCTCGAGGACGGTCTATGACTGCCTTTGCACTGCAGAAGCAGAGTTGAGCAGCAGACCAGAGACTGAATACGGAGCTGGACATGACGGTTTGGATCGTGTTTGGCCTCACGAAGTTTTACGTTTTGGAATGTGGTGATGGGAGGTGCTAGGGCCTATAGTGGCTGGTGACTGGACCGCGGGGACTGCATTATGGAGGCACGATCTTGTGAACAGATTCATGTCTCCCCCGAGATCTGGTAAGTTCCAGCTCTTGTTGTACAAGGGACCCAGCTGTCAGAAGCTCTTTGTCCCGCGTATGTGCTTATGTTCCTGTTGGCCAGGCATGCCTAGGCCTTTGCACTTCATTACGGCCACCAAAATTGTGAGCTTGTGAATAAACCTATATTGCTCTATAAAATCACCGACTGTCAGGTATTTTTATTAGCAACAAAAAATGAACTAAAACACTCGGAAACCTAAATTTGTATTATCTGGTCAATTATACAAAAACACACACACACACACACACACACACAAAAAACCCTCCCAGAAAACAAAAACACGCTTTGCCAGTCCTTGCTCTAGCCTCTCTGGGCCCTTGAGGATCATGGTTATGGTCCCACTGGTGAAGAACACCTATTCTCGCTAATACAAACTCAAGTCCCCGTCCCCACCACCGCAGGCAGAACTGAGTGGTCACCATGACAAGGGCACGACTGTAAGCTTGACGCCGGTGTTGCCTCTGAACTGGAGGACCAAGAACGATGGGCTTCCACAGCACAATGTTATCCTGAGATTTGATTCTATTTCAAAATTGATGAACTACGTACAAACGTTTAGTGTCAAAAACTCGATTAACTGGAAACCACCGTTTCCTTGCCTATGCTAGAAAATCAGCATTAGCTAGATTCATTTTAAGTGGAAATTTAGCGTGGCTAACTGCAGAAATTATGCTTCACTGACAATCGGAAAATGAAACACCAGAGATACTTTTCTCTCGCTCTGTTATATATGATATAAAAAACGAACACATTCCTAACGTATTAGGAACGTAAACCCTGGACCTACTGTAGGCTGCTTGTGCAAATCCAGCAGCTCTCGTACGTGACTGCGGAGCATGTTCTGACACTTCCACATTTCATTGAGAGCTCTGCAAAGAAAGGTGTAAGTAGGAAGAAGCATTACGGAGCAATACAAACACAGCAAATTATTTAACTTTACAACTTTTTTAGTTGCACAGTATATACAAACTCTTGTTTTACATTTACCTACAATTTTAAGAACCAGAAATTCTATTTATTAAGATTTAGAACAGTTCAATATAAAGCTGCTGCTGCTGCATGCACTTGCTGGAGAGACAAAGGGAAAGTAAAGAACATCCCCTCCAGAGCGGATGGCCATATAAATCCCTTCTCCTCCCCTCTCCTCTCCAGTTTTTGGGCGCACATACACACACACCCAATGTATTTGCAGCTGCCATGTCTTAGGCTTGAACCATGGAAGGCCATGTGGGAATCCAGCACCTTAACCACCACACCACCTGCTGACCCCAGTATAACACTTCTTATAATAGAAAATATGAGAAGTCTGGAAGGACTAATAGAACCTTATCAGGTAAATAAACCAATTAAGACATTCAAAACAGAGGTGTCTATAAGGTCCTCATACGTGGAGAGGGAAAATGTCACCAACGAGCATGACACACTCAGGGAAAACGGAAAAACGTTACTCTGCTAGGAGCACAGGGCTTGGGTAGGGAACACACGACAGCTGGAGCATTCCACAGAGCAGGATCGGATCGCGAAGGGTTTCTACCCCAGGCTAGGAGGTAACGGCAGGTAGAGTGTTTAAGATATGGAATGTGTTAGGAATGATGTCAGTTCAAGGCACTACATTAAACCATGTTTGTTCTCGCGAGTGCAGACTTTCTTGATCTACAAATCTCTGCCATACTCAGAGGTACCCAGAGCACCTCTAAGAACTAACTCTCTCTCTCAGTACTCACCACTCATTTTGATACATAAACAAATACCCAAACCATAGGCTGGGGGCCTAATACCTAGAATAAGCATTAATGACTTGTAAAGCTCTTTTAAAATAATGGCTAGAGGGGACAGCCTGTGGCCTGGTGGGTACGTGAGCTGGATCTCACACAGCCAACCACGCGGTCTGAGTCCTGGGCCTGGCGGCCTAAAAAACATGCCAAGTGTATGTAGCGTATGTGTGTACAGAAAAACCATAAAAGAAGTAATGGAAGGTAAAGAAACTGGAGTATGAGCAGACCCCATGGAGTTGCGTTCTCCCACCTGCCCCGTCTCTGTCTCCAGCAAGTGCATGTACCCACTGGCAAAGTGGGAGGGAGAAAAGCTGACTAGACCAGCAGGAGGCAGCACGGCTGGGTCGACGTGGGTGCGCAGCCCACAACCCAGGACCGTCCTGAGACGGCCGGGGCACACGCCTGCACATCGTAACCTAGGCCAGCTCGGAGGGTGGTTTCCAGTGTGAGGGTCCGGGGGGCGGGGGCACTTGTCTCTCTCTCTCTCTGATGAAGGAAATACACAAGACAAACTTAAAACCAAAAGAGATGGCTCATGCCTCTTGATACCATGCTCCAAGTATGCAATGACACCACCAAGAAATTTCCACAAATAAAAGTCACATTCTTAATCCAATAACAGGGAAACACTGGAAAAACCCAAATTGAGGGAGGGGACCAGCAGTTGGTGTAATGGCTGTGTCACTGGACTACCATGTGGTCGACCACAGTTCGCATCCCGGACCCGGTGGCTTAAAACTCATGCCGGGTGCGTGTGTGTGCATGCCCATCCCCCCGGGGGGTGATTTCTGGCTTTCTGTCTCTCTCTGTCTACCTGGTGAGCTCACACGCCCTATAGCAAAGAAAAAAGAAAAAACAAAAAACAAAAAAAACTGAGGTCATGTTCTACAAAATAAACAGGCTCAGAAACATCAGCGTCACTGAGGACAAATAAAGGGAAAGGGATGATCCCACACGGAGAGGCTAGAAATGGGTGGGCCAGGTGGGTAAGGCACTGCACTCCAGTACAGCTGCCTGTGGTTAGAGTCCTGGACCTGGCAGCTTGCTTTATCTCTGTCTTTCTCTCTTCAAAGAGAATGATGATGATAAAGTAAATTGAATAAATAATTGTAAAAAAAAAAAAAAAAGAGACTAGAAATAGAACTAAATATGTAGTTTGTAATATTAGATTGGAAAAAAAAAGTACTCAGTGAACATTACATAAATAATTGAGGAAATCTCAAAATACTCAGAGACTACTGTATTAATAATAACATTAATACAGAGTTTTAAGCCACCGGGTCCGGGATGTGAACCGCAGTCGACTATGTGGGAGTCCAGCGACATAGCCATTACGCTAACTGCTGGTTCCCCAATCTTTTTTTTTTTTTTTTGTAAATTTGAGCTGAGGCTCTTGATTCAAGTACAAGTAGCAACCCCATTAACAACAATTAAGCAGTTTTATAAAATTTTCAAGAAAGAATTTCTTCATTTGAAAGGTCACTTACTTTACAGCATTTGGATCCAAACTAGCATATAAATAATATAAGCATTTCATTCTCTCTTCTGTTTCCAGGTTGTGGGGGACAAGATACTGAGCAAAGATTTTCTCTACCAATAATCTATGAAAAACAACAAATATACAAATAACACAATGACTCCATTTTAAAGTCACAATTGCATTCTGTATTTTAGCCAGGGCGATAGCCATGTGTACCCCAACGATGGAAATCGTCACATGATCACTTCTCTCCTTTGACAACTTTTCAGTATCTTTTTTTTTTTTTTTGAAAAGGTAATGGACTTTATTTTATTAACTGTTTCCACTCACAAACTGACCTAAGGTCACCAAATATGTAGACACAATGAGATTTCATTGTTGTTTATAGTCTTTAATCAAAACGATGATGAAGAAAATAGATGTATTAAAAACAAAACCAAACAGCTCTTCCTATCTAGATTTCAAGTGGGATTCACATTTTGAGTGGCCACTCACGGTGCAGCTTCAACAACCCGAGGCTTGTCTATGAGTCTGGCAGGACGACCACCCTTCTCTACAACCCAATAACTCATGCTTGCATAGGCATTTCTAACGTTGAGATTCAGTTCGTCCCATGCTTTAATACTTGTCAGTATGAAACGTGTGTCCTAGAAGGGTTACATGCTTGCCAACACGTGGCTCGAAGCTGGTCCACCAGTGCGTAGCAGCCAAGAGCTACAGCGTAATAGCTAATGCTGTGTACAGAGCCACAACCTGAGAACAGGTCACCTCAGTCCACAGCTACAACCTGAGAACAGGTCACCTCAGTCATTTCTTCTGATCACACTTCAGCTCCTGTTCCACATTATCATGTAGTTAACACGGGCACACTCCTTCAAATTACTTCCCCAAAACTGGTTTCCTGTGTAGAACTCATCTTTCTTCTCTCCACAGGCTAAGTACTTTACCAATATTGGAATACCCTCTTGTTAATCCAGTATCCGTTATTTAGTGTCACTGGAATATGGGCTCGTTATTAATCATTAGTAATAAAGTATGTGTTATATTGTTAATGAATAAAATACATATCCATTGATGCCCAAGTAGTAAGTGCATTCAATAAAAATGCTACTAAGTATCATGTGAAAACAAAGAATCTTTGGTACAATAAAATACAGCTACAAGTATCATTCGGAAAAGGGAAACAATTCAGTAGTTCCTCTACGGTAGTGACAGTTGTAAAAAGGAAAATTAAAAATTAATAGCTGCAGGACCAGCAGTTGGCTATGTCGCTGAACTCCTGTGTAGTCGAACTCAGTTCGATTCCTGGACCCAGTGGCTTAAACTCACACCGGGCACGTGTGCGTGCATGCCCAAGATCTCGAGAGGAGAATGGAGGATAAGGGACTGTGGCGTGAGCATTCCCCCTGCGGTGTGATTTCTCACTTTCTGTCTCTATGTCTCTGTCTTCCTGGCAAGCGCACGCACCCTATAGCAAAAACCTCGTCCCCCCAATAAAAAAAAAAAAAAAAAAAAAAGATGCAAGTGTGCACCTCTAGTAAGCGAGAGAGTGGGCATTTGCTCTCTGGTCTGCCTCCAATGTCCATGGCTATCTATTTCACTAATATGACAGTCAACAATCTTAAATACTTATTAAACACAGTACACGTATAAGCCTGCATCACTTCCAAATTTAAAAATGGCCGGTGAACATTTGGGAAGTTGTTAAAGACTAAGTCTCGCCCTTGCCCGCTCTGGCGCCACTCACTTGTCATCGATGCTGTTCTGATAGTAAATGTGCAGGAGCTTGTCCTTGACCCAGCTGACCTTCTCTGCGGCTTCCTTCCCCGCCTCCCCGTGAAGGCAGTACTTCTTGTACAGCTGAGCCAGGCCCATCATAGCCTCCTTCCTCACACGCCACTGCAAAGCACATATGTAAGAGATGAGCAAGACGCCCATGTTTCACAGCGGCCTGCAGAGCTTCCCCCGGCTTCGCTCGGCTGGACGGTCAGTCCTGCGTGCAGACCTTCCAACTGGCAAAGCACAGCGACACCGAAAAGTTCACGGGAAAATGGAATTCAAAGATAGACACAAAAGATAGGAATCTTATTTCTCCATATAACTTTCATCGAACTCGAGACACTTTTGTAAGCACTGATACCCACCGTTAGCGCATCTGTAAAGAACTAAGTTCAAGTCTGCCTCCTACGATAGCTGTAAACGAGCTTGAAGAAAACCTCTTGCTACATTTCAAAACCACGCCAATCACCTCCCTACCCTGCTGTGTTTCCAGCGGACGCAGTGTTCCGCTCTGCCTCCCATACAATGGCTCGCGGCACAGCTGCTGCTGCTCAAGGAGACAGCACGCAGGGGCCTCCCTGGCAGGCCGCGCCTGTCTCTCAGCACTGCTCTACACGGTACCATCGTTCCTCACCAACCCACGTTTCCACCTGCTTGCGATGCAGGAAACGGCATGGAAGAGGAAACACACGGCTGTCCGTTCTGCCCTGAGCCCGGCCCAGCCATGCGGACACATCGTATCACGAATGATATTCCCTTAACTGAGGAGTGACAGACCTAGCGACATTACATGAGATCGTCACATGTGAAAATGCTCACTGGAAGGAATTTCACTGCAGGTAATCACCTAAGTGAGAAGTTAAAACAGAACTCTGTACGGCTTAGTGCTTCTCTCATACAGGTGGGCAGGTGGGCTAGGAGAGAGACCCAGGCCTCAGATCTGCAGAGCTAAGAATCCAACGTTCTCATTCGTCAAGTTACTTCAAGGATATACAGGAGAGACAATGTATTGGTTCTTTACTTAGCCCTATTATTAACTTGGTTCTACACAGAAAAGCAGTCATTGTAATGGAAAATAGCATCAGTCTCATGTAGTAAACAGTCCGATCGTACCCGTTTATCCAGCGTCCTCTCCCTCACGAAGCCGAGCAGCTGGTCGTTCACTAAGGTAAGGTCTCTCTTGGCAGCTGTTATTATCGTAACGATGACGTCATGCCGAATAGCTTCTTCTGGATCATGTGAGCGAACCTTCAAATATTCTGTGAAGTGAGAGAAAAAAAAACTTAAGCTAAATGGTAGCCATGTAATTTGTCATGAATGAGAATGACAAACAAAAAAAAAAAAGCTTAAGCTTCTGTCCATAGTGAAATCATGATTGCAAAATGTTGTACAAATTAAAACCATTTTATTTTGAAGGCAGCAGTATTCTGTGTGATCATAACTACACTTTTTACTGCATAGTCACATTAAAAAATTATTTCTTCCATGAGAGAGAGAGAGACAGAGAGATAAAAGACAGAGACGACCAACCCAATAGGGTCCCTCTCCTGTGATCCACTCCAGCCTTATCCTGGCTCTGACAATGGCGTGAACATGCCTGGTGTTCTCAGGGAGGTCCCCAGATGTGAACGTGGAACCTGCCGTGTGGACCAGCCTTGGAGAGGGTTGTATTTCATGCTGTGCCACTGTCTAGCCTAGCACACCTTAGTAAACAACGTGGTACCTGACTTCAAATACTTAACACTTAACTTAAAGAGCAAGTTAGCTGATGGGTCTATACCTGCATACACGGTATACATCGTCATATTCTACAACCTGCAGAATGAAACTGCACGTAGGTTGAAATGCTCTAGGTGAAGCAGCAAGTGAGGATTCTGGCTGCACCTGAAGATAGTCATCTCTCCACTTACTATGATACGGCACCATATTAACCTACATAGACATTTTACCCAAATCCAATGTCACAGAAATATTCTAACTTCCTCAAACTGATTTCCAAAAACTTATAAATGATCGAAATGTAGAGATTTCAAATGTAGGGGGGCCAGCAAGTGGCGTGGTGGTTAAGGTGCTGGACACTCCCACACAGTCAACCATGGTTCGAGTCCCAGACCTGGTGGCAGCTTGCTTTCTCTCTCTCTCTCTTTCTCTCTGTGTCTCACTCTGGTCAAATTAAAATAAAATGAATGAATGAATGAATAAAATTAAAGAAGTAACTCTTTAAAAAATTTTTCAAAAGTAATTTTATTAATACAAGCATGAAATCATTTCTTAGTATATACATAAAGGACAGTCCTGAAAGCCAGCCAGAGTGGAAGCCTGTCCAGAAAGTGCAGGCAGGCCACAGGCCGTCTAAACGGTGTGATTACTCACTCTAACATTTGTAATCAAGTCCAAAGCTTACCTGTGAGATCCTTTGCTAAATCTGGGTGATTCATTAAACAGTGACTGGCAAATTTCACACTTTCCAATCTCACTGGAACATGAATGTCATTAAATCTACACAAAAAAGATTGCTAAATATTAATTCTAAGGCAAAAGACTTACAAATAAGGTACATCTAACATGTAAATGCATATAAACAACAGTTACTGTATGAGGAAATGTGATCGCTCCGGGTGCATGTGTGTGTGCGTGCCCAAAATCCCGAGGAGAATGGAGAAGGAATTTTGGTGTGGCCATCCCCACTAGGGGGTGATTTCTCGCTTTCCGCCTCTCCATCTCTCTGGCAAGTGCACATACCCTATAGCAAAAAAACTCTCTAAAATAAAAATTGATTTCTGTAATGACAATCAATGTGTTCTGAAAGTAAAACAAATGAATAGGTACACAATTTCACAAACTATTTTTCTCTTCCATATGAACAGGGTGAGAAAAGGACATAGAGGAGACGAGCGTGTCAGAGTCGGGGCGGGGGGGGGAGCATCCCTGACAGGGTTTCATCATATCCCAGTCCTCCTACCGCGAGCCTCCGTCACCCAGGACCCAGGGCTGTGTTACTGTTCATGGCCCGTTACTTAGGTCGGGATGGGGACTGAACCCAGGCCCCCACACGGCCACGGCCACTGTGCATGATGCTCTCAATACTGGCACCATTGGGGCTAGGCCACAAACATGCTTAAAAACAGAGTTTGTTTCCCACGCTAGAATTACACTGCACATTCTCCAGCCCAAACTACCCACTTCGCATATCTAAAATTCTGACTGGTTAAATTATGCTGTACAATATGCAGTACACACAAAACCTGCCAGAAAAAAGGTTACAGGAGGAAAATACTGAGGGATTTTAGGCAAAAAATATATCAAATCTAAGAGGCAGATCCAGAAGTCCAAAGATGAAAGCATAAAATCTGAGTCACACTGCCTCAGCACAAAGGTTTTTCTAACTGGCCAGCACCAAGTCAAAATGCTCTTTTAAAGTTCTAGCCTATTGTAGGAATTCAATTAAAATGAAATAATACAAATACATTCAAAACTGTATAAGAATAGGATGAGCGCCTATCAGATTTAAGACATATTATTGAACAACCATTAAAAATATATATATTGGGACCAGCAGTTAGTGTAATGGCTATGTCGATGGACTCCCATGAGGTCGACCGCGGCTCGCGTCCCGGACCTGGTGGCTTGAAACTCACACAGGGCGTGTGTGCGTGCGTGCCCAAGATCCCGAGAGGAGAAGGGATTGTGGTGTGGCCATCCCCCCTGGGGGGTGATTTCTCATTTTCTGTCTCTCTGTCTCTGTCTGGCGAGTACACACGCCCTATGGCAAAAACTTCTTTAAAAAATATATATATATATATATATCATTGATAAAGACATTTTTAAATAGCAAAAAGTATTTTACTTTTTGAATTGGTTTAAAATAACCAAGTAGGCGAATTTATTTAATAAATGTGTTGATGTCTATGGCTTCCAACTGTCTTAGCCAGAGATACTAATATTTTAATACAGCTTTGTATTTAGGATTGGTAATTTTCTAACTTCTAGAGAAAAAGTAAACATTATTACTTATGATCAATAAATAATAAAGTTTCAAAACACTCAATGCTCTATGAAGGACAATAATGAAGAGAAGAGACAGGTAGCCAGGTCTTGATTCCAAGAATCCGACGAGCACTGGAATCCGCAGTAACGTGAAGGCTGAGTGTGAGAAGCCCATTCCGGCTGACTTTGCTACAAGTAACCAGATGCGCAGGGAGACGTGCATCGCTGCCTAACTGCCCTGCAGTGAACACTGGGGCTCACCACACAGGGATCGCCACCTCCTTACAAGTGCACTTGCTTCACCCCCTAATTCCAAACTGTGTTAGAATGAAGTTTAACTAAATATTCAGAATTCATTTCCATTAATACCATCACAATGGCTGATTCTAAGTAAGGAAGGGCATCACACTGTCACTGGTCACAGATTTCTCAGAACCTAGGTTATTAATGGATTATGATAGTGAATTTGCGCTAAGAAAAAATACCGAGCCCATCTTTTGAATCAATTAAACAGTGGTGAATCCAAACATTTTCTAGAAGGCTAATAGTAAATATCTGCTTTTAAATAAATTTTTGAAGAAGAAATATGTAAATGAAGTGCAAGAAGAAATTTCATAAATTCTATACATTACTTTCAATCTTATCAAGTTGAATAAAATCCAATCATTCTAACTTCTTGACAAGAAATGATTAAAAATGAGTTGAAAGCAATGTACATTCCCCATTTTAAAACCACAATTGTACCAACTCAGTTCAAAACACTTCATGCAAGTAGATAAGAAACAGATCTAAAAGACTCTGACAAATGAATAAGATGGTGAGCTGACAAAGGACAGATTCTTAAAACTGGAATCAGTAGGGGCAGCAGACGGAGTAGCAGTTACACGACTGGACTCCCACATAGCTGACCGCAGATCAAATCTCAGACCCAGTGGCTTGAAAATCGCACTGGGCACACATGTGTGCTTGGGGGACGAATGGAGAAGGGACTGCTGCATGGCCATCTCCCGCAGGGCAGGCAGAGAGGTGGGATTTCTCACTTTCCCTCTGACTCTGTCTCTCCCACATCCTCCCCTACCCCGTGAGTACATGTGCCCTAAGGTACAAATCTTATTTTTTTTTTTTTTAAGAAAGAATTAGAATCAATATGTCTTAAGTTTCGTGATTTAAAAATCTTAAGACACAGAATATCCTGAAATGCTATCTATTCTAATGATATTTTTTTTCAGCACCAAAAAGATTAAAAACTATAATGAGGGTATACAGGCACGTGAGACTGCCAGAAAGGGAGAAATCACCCCTCAAAGGGGATGGCCACGCACGCTTACACTCCTGGCGTGAGGTTAAGCCACCGGGTTCGGCACTCAAACCACGGTGGACTACATGGGAGGCCAGCGACATAGCCATTATGCTAACTGCTGGTCCCAATTTTATTTGTTTTTATTTTTTAATTTGACCAGAAAAGAGACAGACAGGGAAAGGGAGAAAGCAAGCTGGCAGGTCTGGGATTCAAGCCGCAATTGTCCATGTGGGAGTCCAACGGCTTAAACAGCATGCCACCTGCCAGGCCCTTCTTCTTCTTCTTTTTATTTTTTTTTACCAGAGGGCATATGCAATTGCCAGAGAGAGAAGAGGAGGCCGGGAGGAAGCACAGCCCAGTGTGGTGGAGCCACGCTGCAATCTCTTCACCCTGCTGAGGTTTGGAGAGGACACTCACACACACTCAGTGATTTTCATGACACCAAGACCAAGGTTCGAAT